CCTTTTGTGGGAAGGGGATATTGATTTACTGTTTTCTGTTCTTCCACTCTGTGTTTCATCTCGGGCGATCTGGGGCTACTCTTCCGGGAAAGAAGATGGGTGGGATACGGAAAGAAGGGAAGGGAAGGGGAAAAAAAAAGAATCAAGGCGTTTGGAGTGGGTTGCTTGCGGCTGCTGGATGGGCTTGCGGCTGGGATGGGAACGGGCTTGGGAATGGATGGGAACGGGTTGGGATATACCAAGGTTTTTCTATTTTTCTTCTTTTTTCTCTTCTTTCCTTCCATCTTTATCTCTTCTTCGCTTGCACTTTCCTCCTTTCCCCCGTTCCAGCTCGCTCCCGGCTTGGAGATTTGATATTTGATCACGTTGGAGTTTTTTTTTTTTTTCCCCTTCTTCTTCTTCTTCTTCTTCTTCTTTTGCTCATTCAAGTCGTTGAGATTAGGTTTACTTTGGTCTGGTTTCAGCTCTACTCTTATCCTCCTCCCCCTACTTAGGGAACCATTCTATCAGGAACAGAAATAGAAAATTGAACGTCTTGTTCCCGATTTGCTTTAATCTGATGTAATCTTATTCCATCTTTTGAGGATCTGAGGATACTCGCTTCGTGAGGCCAGTCCTGTTCTCACCCGACCTACTACGTACTTACAGTTGCGTTTGCGGCGGGAGTGCGCGCATTCTGGGTTTCGTCACAGCCGACCTCCATCGCTCTCCTCCGTACAGCCCAACCTCCCTAGCCTCTCCGGCTTCGACAGCGGAAACGAAAAAAAGAGACGGGACGAGGATGTGGGTACGGTAGGTAGGTGCCAAGCTAGGTATCAGAAATCCCAGCTTGCTGCACAACAGATGAAAGTAATGGTAGAGAATTCCCTCCCGAAAAGCAAAGCGAAGGCCAAAAAAAANNAAAAAACATCGCTATCATACCTAATACCTACCTAGCTAGCTTATGTATACCCCCCTTCCTTGCAACCATACCCCCTCATCGGGTTTTTTCTCGCAACTGATCTCGTAGGCGTTCTTCTCCATCCGTTACGAAACATATCCGCGCACCCCATGTTGGTCACCGTCGTCCCGTGAGCTGAGCCTGAGAAAGGGTCCGGTGCCTAAGTGGAAAGCTACCGCCGGATCGAGATGTTTCCAGCCGTAGGTGTCGGTCAGATCAATCAGCACTGGTGTAATCTCTGATATGTCATTGCTTAGGTAGATAGCGCGATGGAATAGAGAGAGAGAGAGAGAGACTGGAAGACCTGTACAGAGGTACTTTGACGCCTCTTCGCGATCGTGGCTGGGGGTTGTCACGCGGTTGGTGATTGATTACCCTACTTTACTTGACGCGCAGCGCGCGTTCTACAAGTAGTCATTCCTGTCTTCTAGGGGAGGGGAGGGGAGGGAAGGTTGGGCGACACTTGTCATCCGCCCGGGTACCCTCCTAAGCGAGGTGGGGCTGGGAGGTTGGAACTGGACTGACCTCAGGAAGATTTTTTTTTCTTCTTTTGTCCTTTTTTCCCCCCTTGTGTGTTTTTCTTTTTTGTTTGAAGGAGATGGGGGTTTTGATTGAGAGAAAGAGAGAGAGAGGGAGGGTTCGTTGGAGAGGAGGCTTGGTTTCAGGGATGGGAATGAATGGAATGGATTGGAACGGAGATTGGGGTTTGGGAATTTAAGAGGGGGTTTTGCGAGAGGGGGCTTTGCATATTGATACAGCGCAGCTGCTTGCTATCGATTGTGCCTTTCTCCTACGGCTAAGATGGATCGCAGAAAAAGATGGTAGTATATCTTCGTCGGAGGAAGGACCTACATAGCAAGTTACAGCGTACGGAACGTACTATCGATGTCGATTATCAAGAGTCAGCCAAGTAGCCTTTTCGAAAAACGCAATATCATACGTCGTCTTATACCTCCTCTCATCTTTCTTACCTCGTTCCCCTTTTATTGCATATCCTCTTGGTATCTTCCATCGATATGCTCGTCAGGTATGAATCGTAATCGGCGTGGTAATCGAGGGGTTTTTTTTTTTTTTTTTTCCCAAAAAAAGGCTCGTTCGGATCGCCGATAAAAAGAAGTCTCTTCGAAAGGCTGTCTGTCGTCTTGATTTCGATTTCGGCTTTCCAGACTTTTCTCGGCCGCAAGAAAGAGAGCGGAAGGTTCGCCACGTACTACCTACAAGTAGAGAATCGTAGACCCCCCTTACTTATAAGCTTTCTTCCAGCATCTCGAAGAAGCGTATTTAATAGAGCGAATTTTCAAAGGTCTGCGCGCGAATCGTCAGGAGATCTCGCATAGACGACGTGATAATATATTTAGCTTTGAAGCCCGGCATGCCATTTCAAATAGCACATCTGTTAATTTTGTATTCCCAGATCCGGAAACAGTCGACTCTCATCACAGTACGTAAGTCCATATCTAATTGCAGAGTATTATTTTAAAAAGGTGACAGCTTCTTCGCAAGCTAATATTATGTAAACAAATCGACGCGGGACGTGATTGTTTCGCCTACTTTAGGGAAAAGCTTGAAAAGTTGAGACGTCGAGTCCCATGATTACATACGACTAGTTGTGGTTGTACTGCGGCAGTGGGTCTTGAAACAAGACTCGAAATTCTTTGCATTCCTTCAGGCCTGGGCGGCGCCTCTTGGTGCTCCGTGGTAGTCAGAGCCCCAGGGTAGAGGAGATTCGACATCGTGGCGCCTGTCATAGAATGTATTATGATGGACTTGGGCCGCCTTTGTTTTTGCATTCTGTAACGACTGACTGCTGGCGCCAACTCTGCCTCTACCTCATATCAAACACCACCATACCAGCGACGAGACGAGACGAGACGAGACGAGACGAGAACGTGCCGTTTTAATGCGCCCTGTTGGATACACAATTACGTAGTAGCTGGTGGCATTCTTTGTCGGCCTGTGCGCTCTCTGTCAAGAGCAAAATTCCAATTTAGTAGTGCCTACGGTACAGGCGTAAGTAGTAGTACTACGTAGTACGTCGCAGGCGTAAGTATTACCCCTCGAGGGTAGGGTAACCGGGGGGTTCAAAGTGGAAACTAAACTTTTGAGGCACCCTCGAGGAGTAATAGTAGTACGTAGTACGTAGTAGTAGTAGGTAGTAGTACAACGTAGTAGTACTACGTACTACGTACGTAGTACATGAGCTCAAGCGGACGTGATTAGCACAGCGAAAAGAAGCGGGAAAGGTTCCTCAAAAGACATCGCAAAAGCTAGCGACGCATAGGGACTGGCAAACCGCACCCCCCAAAACCAACGCCCTTCCGTAACGGGCCGCAATCGCGATCGCCCACCCAGTCCATATTCTACTGTCTCCCTAACCTACCCCTTCACGGCCTTCTCCTGAGGCTGGGAGGAAAGGTCGTAAGCGCTACAATCGAATACCGCCCGCGCAGAAATTGGACTCTCTACGGAGCGGGCGTGTTTCCAGGACCAGGCGCATTCTCAAATGGATGCTTAAGCTCTACAGTACAAGCCTAGGTAGGTGGGCTCCTCCACAAGTCCTACCTACTCCGTACTCCGTACGGAGCGCAGACCCAGACTCTCCTATACGCCTCGCAGACTCAATTATACATACCCTCACTAGGTACTTACTAGCGCATATTGCTCAGGATGTTGAATAGCAGAGGTGACGCTTTGGGGGCGCTGCAGCTCTTGCAGCTACTACTAGCTCTATTGGAAGCGAAGGTTCTCCGTCCGCAATTGAGTTCTAGGGCCGGAAAAATTCAATCCTGTCTATACTACCTAGTATACTACCTACTGTAGGACTGCTTGTGAGAAACGCGAGCTCGGGAAAGTATATGCGATAAGGCCTTATCGCAGGCCAGAGTGGATATTCACGGCACTGAACCTTTTTCGTGCTTGGCCAGGCAGGGCCGGACATTTGACCGTTTAGGTGCTAGGTTTACTTTGCTGGTAAAAAAAATTTAACTATAACTTAAAGGATAAGAAAAGAAGATTTATCTTTTGAAAAAAAGAAAGAAAAAATTTCTTTTCTTTTTCTTTTTTTTCCTTTTCGTTTCTTTATCTTGGAAATTTTATTACAAATCGACTCTGCTAATAGCCTCTTTTTCTTTTCCGGATACGATATCTACGTAGTGCTACGTATGTACTTATCAGCTCTTCATTATGAACTTTACTTGAGGCGCATACTCCGTAAAAAGAAATCATTGGCTGGTTGTGATGTAGGGCAGCATTCAGTTGGAAAGTGTCAAGTTATGCGAAATCGTGATCTGCTCATGTCGAAGGCGGGTGAAGAGTCTTTGGCCCCCCTTTCCGCGGTATATATTAAAGAAAGGGGTGTGTTTTTACTGTATTGCTTACTCGCTCGGTTAAGGAGAGATGGTTAACTGGACGAAAAGATGGCCAAGATGGCTGGACTCCGTATGGACAGGAACCGTTCTGTCGGTTTCTAATCTCCGGGGGCTCGAAACTCCTTGGCTGATGACCAAGGCATGCAAAGAGAAATGTGACACCGCCACGACACGGCCCTGACAGGTTCAAGCTCTCAGCTCTGCTCTGCACTGGTCCGATGCTCGATGGCCTTGTGGATTGTGGGTTGTGGGCCAGGGAATGATACAGGACAAGGACAGAATCCTGTTGGCGATTAATCCCGTCGAGCAAGAAACGCCTCGCAGCTCTTTGATCAATCTATTTTGGCATGACATCGATGATGGGGTGTCACGTCCAATATCTTGCGCATGAAAGGGGGGGGGGTTGGGGAAAGGGGGAAACCGACAACTACCGTACCGCAGAAATGTTCAAAAATGGCGCGCGCCTGCCAATAGCGTGCAATCTCTGCTCATTAACTGACCGGTGCGTTGACTGCGCAAAAGGCCAACGGATCTCGAAAGTCAAACTCCGCCGAGGCCAGAATTACCACGTACTACCACGTACTACGTACTACGTAGTAGTACGTAGTAGTAGTACTACTACGTACGTAGTATAACCTAGTAGTACTTGTAGGGAGTATATCTTCACCCAAAGACAGGCAGTGCGCCGATCGTGTGGAGTCAACAGGCCCGCGCGCCACCTGGTCGAGGCAAGAAAAAAGCAGGCAAATCTTGCCCCGACCAGACAGAGCGTGGAGCAGCTCTGCATATGCAGCTTCTTACTCTATTCGGAGCAAGGCAAGTAATCGGCCGAAGATGGTACTTCTTGTTACTTACTGCTTACGGTAACAGCCCGGGACCGTTTCTACGGGATGCTTTGGAAGAAAAGTCTTGTTCGGATGATATACTCCGTGCTTAGCCTTCGCACCTTGCTCAGCGACTAGGGCGACGTGTCTGTGGTCGGGACTTGAGCGAACTTCGGATGATTGACCGGCGCGTGTGGCTCATCCGATATTTTTGGACAGAAGGTTATTGTTGTGTACGGTATGGGTATACATGTCTGTAGTACCGGTAGTTACTTGTACCGGCATGTACGTAGTAGTAGTAGTATTTACAACGAGCTACGTAGTACCGTAGTATGAAGCAGATGGCATCTACCGTTACCGGGACCGAGCCAAGTGTAGAAGATCTTAACACTTTATGCGTAACGTACAGCATCATCCTACGTTGGACTTTCCCATCCCACTGTCTGAAATATACTATCCTTTGGGCTCGGCCTGGAGAAAGAAGAAAACAGTAGGCAGGGCTCGACAGAAATATGGGGAGCAATTCTGGAGGCCAAGAGAGCTGCGCGCTTCTGGGCGACGGCGACTGGGCCCTACCGTCCGGACCAATGACTCGCCGCATGGGCCAACAGAGATATACAAGTATGGAACGCATAGGTACTCCATTTCCATCTCCCTCTGTGCCAAGTTGGCAATTTTTTGGCTTTCTGCGATTCAAAACTCTTTTTAGATTGTTGTGCTTGAGGCCCGGCGAACAAGGGGCCTTGCACACCCCCAAGACATTCATCACCCTCCACCTTGATCAGGTTCTTCTGGACGCATATAAATATGTCTACCGAACCACTGCAATTTCCCTCGAAGTGCTAACCTCTTCATCTTCTCCGTGCCACTCTTCCGTTGCTCGTTTATTATAAACCTCTGCCTTTTGTCTCTCGCTTCTTCCTCCTCCTCCTCCTCTTCCTCCTCCGCCTCCTCCTCCTCTTCCACCTCATCCCTCCCTGTCTGTCCCTTCTGGAAAGGTCCGAGCATCAAGTTCCCGACATCATGACTCGAGGATTCTACAACTACCTCGCTGCAGCGCTGGCACTCGCATCGTTCCCACTCGCATCGTTCGCCCAGGAAAATGAGTGTGGTGGTGGTGAGCCCGAGGCCACGGTGACCGGCGAGGGGAATTCCTACACGGCTACCTCTCTCTCCAAGGAAGTCTACAGCGGCTCAGACTACCTTGCCGCCATCACCGCCGCGCTGGATTCGATCTCTGAAGGCCAACGTGTATCTGTCATCGCCTCCGGCTCGATAGGCACCGGCCGGATTCATGTCGATAGCGGAAAGATCTTTGAAGGCTGCGGTACTATCGATATTGGCAACAACAAGCGCGGCTCCATCGAGTCCCTCAACACCGTCGGGGCCTCCATCCCGTTCTTGACTCTGACCGGCTCTCCCTACTTCGGGATGCGCTTCTACGGCACCCACGGGTTGTCGCTCGGCCGCATCACCATGAGGCTCAGTGGCGGGATGGGCATCCGCTTCGATCGCGACGAAGCCCCGAACACCGACGTCCAGATGGACGTCATCGACGTGAAGGGAGCAGGGAGCCACGCCGTCGAGACGTGGAACATCGACGGCCTCACCATCAACGAGGTCCTCGCCGAGGACGTCGGCGAGTGTGGCCTGCTGCTGCAGGCGACCACCAACGCGAAGGTTGGCCTCGTCAAGGGAACCAACGTAGCGACCGGCAATGGCTACGCCACCTTCCGCATGGCCAACCGGAACGGCCGTTCCGGCGATGACTACTCTACCAACATCTTCATCGATGAGGTTATCGCCACCGGCGGCGGGCGCGGCATCTTCTGCGTGTCGGAGTCGGGCGGCGCCGAGATCCGCAAGATCGACATCTCGAACACCGGCGGCGACTCCATCCTTATTGAGAACTGCCACAACGTCAACATCCTGGGCGGTGTCGTGACCGGGGGTGGCAACGTGCGCCTGGCGAAGCGAAATGAGTTTGAGAACAACTCCGACATCAGCCTGAACATTGAAGTCAACGACACCCCGGTATTGGAGAAGCCATGCGGTGAAAACTCCCGGCTCGAAATTTCCGGAAACGCCGACGTGAAAATCTGCTAGGAAACGAATGAATGACTGAAAGGGCCCTGGAGTCACTTTTTGATACCCGCAGGTCTCTCCTTCTCGCGCTGACCGAGAGTGGATAACGATTTGATTTTTTTTTCTCTATGGCGTTATATCTCTTTTCGCCTCTCCTATTTAATAACTAGCAATTAGTTGGATGACTTGGTGCCCCTAGCGGGCTGCCGGTCCAATATGAGTCCAAAACTCACCACCGCTTTCTCCTCTTTCCATCCCTCGCGTGATTGACTCTTGTGATCTTGGTTCCCTTTCCGGGCTTTCGTCTTCCGCGTTTTCTCTCTCAACAACTTTCCTCCTCGCCCAGATCAGCGCAACCTACCTACCTACCCATCTAGCACCCGTGCCGCTGCCCGTTCTACTAACTAGCAGCTCACTCAAGACCCCCACGAACGAAAAGTCACGCCTGTTTCCGAGACGGTGAAGAGGATGAGTTGTGAGTTTGAAGATGAGATGAGATGAAGATGATGGTAAAGTGGGTGGAAGCAAGGCAAGGTAAGTAAAACCAGGCGACGTAAAGCCAGGAGAAGAAAAGCTAAGCCTGTGTATATGGAAGCACTTTGCCCCTCCAATCCTCGTGCAGAATATATCCTGGGATCTTTTTCCAAAGGACCTTTCGAGGGGATGGAAGGATGAGAGAAAAATCCCGAGCTGAAATTGGAAGAGGGGGTGGGAAAGGGGGTGCTGTACGAGGCTTGGATTCTCAGGGAGGTCTGGGATGAGGCTTTTTTTTTCTTCTTTCTTTCTCTCTTTCAGAACAAGTCATTCTTGGAATATGTCATGGAAAGTGTGTCTTCGATGGGAGTCTCGAGGCGGGCTTGGGTACCTTAAAGCCAGGTAGGGAGGGGGTCATTTGAGCGGTCCTCTTGACCCTCTTTTATAAAAGACGGTTATTAGACCGCTTCAATTCAGTACCACGTTCTTTTCAAGAATAGGTAGTTTACCGAGAAGACCGTCCCATTGAAAGAGACCGTTTTGTGGCCGTCCCACGGGCGTCCCCGTCTATATATTTAAAAAAAAAAAAAATGGCTTACTGATGAAATAGTTCGATGATTATTTTGAAAAAGATATCATTGTAAATAAAAATAATTTCTTGAATGGAATCGTTATAGTAAGAATTTAATAAATTCCATGCTAAGATACCTTAAAGGCAGGTAGGGGGTCATTTGAGCGGTCCTTTGACCCTCTTTTATATCAGACGGTTATTAAACTATTTAAAATCAGTACTAGTTATTAATCAAAAATAATTCACCTTTTTGATCGTCCCCGAGCTTGGGACCGTCCTATGGCCGTCCCGTGGCCGTCCCCGTCCATATTTTTAAAGCAGGCTTATTGATAAGCTCGTTTTAAAAAATTGAAATAGTTCGATATTTATTTTAAAAAAGGTATAGTTGTAAATAAAAATTACTTCTTAGATGGAATCGTTTTAGTAATAATTTAATAAATTCGATGCTAAGATATTTCTCGGTATCGCTGCTACGGCTTATATATTAACGCTTTAAATTTTTAATAATCGGAATCGATCGATTCAGTAAAAGTTCACCCGCGTAGATGCGCCTTAAGAGCGCTTTGGGGGGGGGGGGGGGGGGTGATAAGGGGGTGGTATACCTAGCAGAGGGTAGACTGCTAAGTAATTGAAAAAAAAATAAAAAATTATTTGCTTATTAATCAACGTTTTCCGGGACGGTTTCAAGTTCGGGGACGGCCACAGGACGGTCTTAAAACGGTCTTTTCGTAAAAAGACCGACTTTTATAAACGACGATTTAATCGATGAAAACGGTCTTATTTTAATAATGATCTTTTAACGAAAAGACGAGCTTCTATAAAAAACGATTTAATCGATTGAAATAGTTCTATTTTAGCTGCGATTTAAATAATTTAAATCGTTTGTTTTCGGATTCTATTCAATTTTAAGTATCGGCTTAGAGTGATCCACTAGCTATGCTAACCTCTTAGAATCGTCTTTTAAAGAGACCGTCATCGGATTGTCAGGTAACGGTTTAAATAACCCCTTACCTGCCTTTAAGGTAAGGTGTACGGTGTATCTTTCGATTTTGGGAGGTAAATACTCCCTTATTATACCATGCCGCTAGACTTACGAAAGTCGAATAATGAGATTATCAAAACGACCTTCACAGCAGATGATGAGTGAGCCTTTCCCAAGCGCCAAGAAGGACTATCGTAAGGAAACCACCTGATACTTTGAACGCTGATTTTGGAGCACTCGGAGCGAAACCAGACCTCTCGGTTGTGAAAAGTGTCTATACACGTGACCTTACAGGTTTTTATCCACGACCCTTCATCCGAGTCCGTTTGGAGCGACGGCCGGGAAGTAAATACGGGATATTTGATGCTCGAAGATCGTACGTACTCTTGATGGATTCAAGCTCTCGAATCTGTATTGCATGTCAAAATAATCAACGTCTGCTGACCCCGATCCCTGGTTACAAACCACAAACCACTCAGTCCACGATCCTGGCATCCCACCGCAGTTGACAAGTTCCCGCATACAGCAGCACCTCTTTAATTCAATCCAAGTTCTTGGTCTCCCAATATTACTCTGTCAGTGTGTCATGTTCTAGATGGCCTGCCTGAACTGGATATTGCGCCGGTAATCTCTGTCCAGGTGTTGCTTCGCGACGATGCTGGCCTCTTCGATATCAGGTCCATGGACCAACAAAGCACTCGCTTGGTCTCTCAGCAGTATCCTCATACTCGACACTCCGTTCTCACCTCTGCGCCTGCTCAAGTCTTTCCAGGTCTCGGTGCTCGTTGTGTACGCCGCTCTCTACGCCCTGGCAAGACTTTGGCTGGGTCATGTGATCACCAAGGCGCAGGACCCGTACCTGGTAAGTGTTGTGTCCTTTCTCCTTCGTGGAGATGATGGCTAACAGGTCTTTTTCAGGATGAGGTATTTCACATTCCGCAAGCGCAAGCCTATTGCAACGGACGATATGAAGTGTGGGATCCCAAACTCACAACGCCCCCAGGCCTGTAATTGCCCCGACTGACTCCTGACTCCTGACTCTCTACCTCCCTCTTCCTAAACTGCGCAACTAATATCACGTAGCTACATCTTCGCAACGATATATAGCAAAGCTGTTGCATATGGAAACTGTTCGCCGGCAATACTACGCTCTTTCAACATCTTTGCCCTGATCATGGTGTTTTCATATGCCTGTGATTGCCGAGCGCTGATCGTCCGGACTCGACGACTCAGCCCACGGTCCAGTGCTGAGAATGTCGCTTCCCGCATCGACAGCTGGGTTGAGAGATCTAAGCCCTTGTCGCCAAATGAGATACATACCGCTTTGAACATCGCCCTTTTCCCGCTTCTTTTCTTCTTCACAGGCCTGTTCTACACCGATATCTTGTCGACGTGTCTGGTGTTGAGAGTATATCGGCTGTTCCTAGAACGCAAGGGGGCGTACAGGACTTCGAGAGAGGGGCTTTTCTGGATATACCCCACTGGTATAGTTGCGCTTTGGATGAGACAGACCAACATTTTCTGGGTTGCTGTATTTCTGGGTGGGCTAGAGGTGGTCAGGACAATCGAAGCCAACCGAACTGTGAGCTTGGAGAATGAGCCAATGCCCTATAGCTCAAAAGACCTTGCGATATTCCACTTCAAACGATACATTCGAGGAAATATCCATGATATTCCTTTGGAGGACGCTGGGGTGCATGGTGATTTTCCTGTTGTGGCATCCACCACTCCTCGCTAATATGACCCAGACTTCATCATCTGCGCCATTAGCATTGCAATTGCAGCCCTTTCCCGCCCCATTATTGTTGTCAGTAGCTTATGGCCATACATCGGCCTCCTCGCCTCCTTCCTCGGCTTCGTCATCTGGAACGGCGGGGTCGTGTTGGGTAAGTGTTCTCTGCCCTCTCCAGTGTAACATCGTCTCTGACCAGCCCAGGCGACAAAGCAAACCACGTCGCAACGATCCACCTCCCTCAAATGCTCTACCTCTGGCCCTTCATTACCTTCTTTTCAGCACCGCTTATCGTGCCGGTCGCCATGTCATCGCTCTACCGAGCGCTCAAGCTCCTCTCGCTGCCCCTGTTCCCCCGCCTGGTCTGGCAGTACCTCTCAGTCGCAACATGCTCAGCTCTTGCGCTCACAGCAACATTGGCGATCATCAAGTTCAATACCATCATCCACCCCTTCACCCTGGCCGACAACAGACATTACATGTTCTACGTCTTCCGGTACACCTTCCTCCGCCATCCGCTCATCCGCTATCTCGCGGCCCCGGTGTATCTCATCTCTGGCTATCTCGTCTACCTCACCCTCTGCTCTCAGCCTTCTCCTCGGCAAACCTCTAGCCTTAAGACAGCGAGATCTGCCGTTGGTGACCGGGATATCTACCCAGCGGCGCAGGTACCTACGACGACCACCGACAGAGAGTCGGTCGGTCCCAACACATCCTTTGTGATTATCCTCCTCGCCACGACCGCGCTGGCACTCATCACCGCCCCGCTCGTCGAGCCCAGATACTTCATTCTCCCATGGGTCATCTGGCGCCTTCACGTGCCCGCTCTCCCATCCCCATCCCGACTACCATCCCAGCCCACCGCCAAGTCTCAAGACGCGCCAGCAAAAAAACCACTCCAAGCCCTCGTCACCCGCTTCTCCTTCTTCTTCCGGGGCTGGCACGGCCACGGCCACGGCCACGACCCTAGGCTCTACCTCGAAACGGCTTGGCTCCTGCTCATCAACGCGGCGACGGCATACATGTTTCTGTACCGCGGCTTCGAGTGGGCGCATGAGCCTGGGACGGTGCAGCGGTTTATGTGGTAAGGTAGGTTTTTATTACTCACTGGGGGCGAAGAAACCAACGATTACAAGCAAGTCCTTGCCAGGCTCCCCCTCCATTCGACACGCGAAGGCGGTAATATACGTAGTACTACATACTTTCATAGTCCGTATACTGGGTAGTAGTTGTAGTAGTACTATTGTTTTAACGTCTATTGCGTGTCCTAAAAGTCCAACTTATCACCTCCCGAAGTGTATTCCGACGTGCCGGCACTAGATCCCGACCTAAACACCTGGCAAAAAAAAAAAAAAAAAAAGAAAACGGCTCTAACTAATTGAATAGTTCTTCAAATACAAAGTCTATCCATATCGATAAGATCCAAACTACGAAAGAATAAAAGATACAGATCGATATAGAGTCTCGGGTCTCTCTGATCCCGCGGTATCGCAGCTCTAAGTAATGATGAATTCCAGTGTATCAGGAGTAGGAGGCTTAGTCAGGTGAGCTACCGGTAGCTGAGTCAGGCGTGCTTCTATATATAGTGGAGTGAGTGAGTGGCAGGCTAAGAAGTGGTCTCAGCCATTCTGCCTTTTTGGCCGCTTTAGCCCAGCGGTAGGTAAAGCTCTTTAACTAGGTATTGGCTTTTAAACAGAATAGTTAAGAAGAAGTTAAGAAGAACAACTCCTTAGTACGTAGTACTTGAACAGATTTTAAGTTTTCGTGATGCCGAGGTTCTCTCTGATACGCCCAGCGACGCGAAGAGCTCAAGTAGGTAGGTAGGAAAACCGCTTCGCGATTACTTATACAGTAAGTGCTACGCTCATCAGATACGGAGCTAGGTTTCGGGTTTATTATACTGTACTACGTATAGTGGATAGTACTGTAGCTGCTGACGCGTACCGGTATGGCTACCGCTGAACGGGGCGATACCTACCTAGGTACCGTTGTGTGGACACGTGTCAGTATCCCTCGCCTAGAGTCGGTAGGTACTACGGTACTGTAGTACTTGAGGCAGAGAGTTGTAGGCCGTTGTGCCTCGGCCGGTAGTCAGGGGCTAGCTAGCACGAGGGGTAATGAATGTCAAGAGCTGAAGTCCTAGTCAGGTGAGCTGATTAAGGCGTGCTTCTATACCGGTGTATACAGTAGTAGAAAAGCCGGACGAGAAGCGTTCTCAGTGGTTCTGCCTTCTTGGCCCGTTTAGCCCAGTAGTAAGTAAAGCTGTTCAAACTGTTAGCTCCTCGCATAGTTCTTTTTGAGTAGCGGCGGTTTCTAGTTGGCAGTGTTTTTAATCGGTTGCGATGGCTTTGTATTGCGGCTGGTTGTTAGCGGCTCGATAGGTATACCTTATTATCGATGATCAATCGATGATTTGATCGATATCTTTTCTTATGCCATTTGTATTCGTCATCGATTACTCCCCCCCCATGAATACATGTCGGACCCAGTTTAGGCCCTTAAATCATAGGTCGATTATTTCCCATGCCTCGAAGAAAGTGGAGTTGTATTTCCCATGCCTCAACCTACTTTTTGAGTGGGCCCGCCTAGCCAAATCTACTCGCTGCTCTATACAGGAAAATTTTTTCAGTAATGCCGCTTATACTAGAATTATTTTTTGAAGTTCTCGATTGTAATTTTAAAGCTATTTACATTTACAATTTTTTTTAAAAAAAAAATTAATAGAAATAAATAAATACAATTTTATCGCTTACGGATCTCGGTGTAGCGTTGGATCGCGAATTAAAGATATATATGTGTTTTTAATTATAAATATCAGCTTAAGAATCAATTCTAAAAGATACGCTATCCGCGCAACCAACGGTCTTATATAAAGAACACGATCATAGCATATATGTTTTCCTCACTATACCGATACCGTAGCTTCTTTATTCGAACGTCGTAGTTGCAACGAGCGCGCTACTTAAATAGATCTGTATTTATATCAGAATCAAGTATACCGAAGCCGAGGTCGTTAAATGTAGCGTCAAGCAGCGAGTAGATTTGGCTGGGCGGGCCCACTTAAAAAGTAGGTTGAGGCATGGGAAATACAACTCCACTTTCTTCGAGGCATAGGAAATAATCGACCTTAAATCATATCATAGAGCGGTGGTTTCTTAATGGCTCAAAGCCCTGTCAACTCCACTGTATAGACTAAATACTGGCTCAAAGATTCTTTTCAGAGCTGAATCCTTATCAGTCGATTGGTTTAAGCCCTGGTAAGATCTCTTGCGGAATTATACTACGTACTTTCGACATGTATTCATGGGGGGGAAGAGTATGATTGTAAGCGTTTTCGAGCTGGCAATTGTTAAGGGTCTTCTTTACCGTATAGCAATCCCGAGTGTTCCGAAGAGCCGAGCCGCTATCGTATCCAATTCAATGCTTTAACGTCTTGATACTAGGTATATCATACTACGTATAATCGATCCTAAACACCGCTCTCAAAGTGTGGAGAAAAAGTCAAATTCAGTTGTCGCATAGTAGTAATTACCGAGCAGATCGGTAATATCGAGTTTGAGAGTTTGGCATTAAAAAGGCCATGGTGATACCTGTTTCGTACTTATCAAAAATTATACTTTTTTCGTTTCTATAATTATCCCTCGCTTGGTCGGTAGATGCGGGAGAAACGGTTAACGGCAGAAAAGGTTAGCATTAGAGTGCAACGGGTAGATTACGTCGGAGAAAGATTTTCTTGATCGGCTTTACGAATATTACGTATGAAAAAGTTGTCGTAAGCTCGTAGCTTGCGCCGCGTACGGGCTCCGAAATCCGTCTGCGCTGGCCTCCGCGTACTGGGTCCTCCCGTGCTCAGGTACTTCGTATTCCTGAGATGGGTTTCGTTGGTTCTACTAAGAGCTGATTCTGCTTTGGTTAAGCCAGCAAGGATCTGAAGGTTTGCCATCTTTCAACCTTGCCATATCAGCTACAGGTACAAAAGTCCGTTACTGTAACTCCGTACAATGTCGTAGTTTAAGCTTGTAAATCTTAAAGCGGTACGTACCACGGTACAGGCCTAAGTATTACCCCTCGAGGGTGCCTTAAAAGTTTAGTTTCCACTTTAAACCCCCTGTTTTCCTTACCCTCGAGGGGTAATACTTACGCCTGCGACGTAGTAGTTTCTGAAAAGCTTAATGCTAAGTCAGTGAGTGCACTGACTATTATTAGAAATTGATCCAGTTTGAAAGTCGCTTTGTTTCAAAAGTCGGTATAGCGCACGCGATGGAACGAGTGAATAAGGGCAGCCGATAGCTTGCCTTATTGGCGCATGGTTAATTGTTTGAAATACAAGGAATACTGCCAGTTTATTGAGGTTTCAGATCGTATTCTAGAGGTTTCCAAGCCAATTCTACTGGCTAACCACCCCGGGTTCACTGCCACCCCCTTCGCTAACCCTTTGCCGAACCCCTAGTAAAAGTATGCTTTCGATCTGTATTCATAGGGGAGTGTATTACTACGTACCTCGTACAGTATTCATGAGATTATTTCCGTTAATTTTATTGGAAGCTGATTTTGCGTTAGGTAAGCTGGCAAGGATTTCAAGGTCTGTTATTTTAAGCCCTATCAGTTATACTTTGCAAGCTCCGTATCCTAAGTATATAAAGTATCTTACATCCTGCGCTGGTATCAGCCCATTTTCCTCTTCATATCAACTTCCATCAAATCAATATACCAACTTTATCGAATAGAACACTTCAAATCACCCTTCTTATCTCACCTCAAAATGGTTGCTATTAAATCGCTCGTCACCTTGCTTTTGTATGTACTTCAATCTGATTCAATCATATCTTAACTGGTTTAATACAACTAGTTATAGCTCGCTGACTTTGCATATTGCTTTTAGTATCTCTCTCGCGAGCGCACAACAAAAGGAAAATTCGCATTGTTATTGTGGAACTGACACGAATACTGCGAATATATGCGCTAACTTAAAGTTAACCATGAATGGGAGTAAAGTACGTTAATATCAAACCAGAAAGAAAATCTTCTCATCAATCCCCTCACAGCAAGAACAGTATGCAGATATGCTAATGCTTTTACTTCACAGTGCTTCGTTCCTGGGGGTATTGATGGCATTACCGCCTTCCTTGATAATTGCAGGAGCGGCGGGCAGGCTTCCTCCGCCTCATGCGATTAAGTCCGAGGGAGCGCTTCTCAGCAGCATTAAGTCATGCTTGAATGTCTAGACAAAAATAGCTTGAACTGGTCGACCTTGTTTGGTTGGAGCTGCTCTCGTGGACGGGATTGATTAACTCGCCTGCTGGCCTGCCAAGAGCCACTCGTTTTTGATATGTATGGAAATATATATACAAAAAAAAAAAAAAACACTTCTTCACCATATTTCCTTCCTCTCTGGCTGGCCCTCCCGTATGATAACCCTTTCCTTGCTTTCTTTCACAACTCTTTTTTTCCATTTCCTCTCAATCAGCTAATTAACTCTATACCCCCGATAGATTCCAGCTAAATAACTTCATAATCCCCAATCCACCCTCTCCGTCCTTCTTATTTCTTCCCTCCTTTCATTTTCCTCTCTTTCTTCCTTTTTTTTTTTTTAATTTACAACCCATCCAATCTGCTCTCCAACCTATCTAATCCCACCATTTTTTCCCAATCATTCCCCTTCCCCCCCTCTCTTCTTTCTCTTCTGTCTTCTTTTCATCCTCCTGCTTTCTTTCTCCCACCCTTCTCTCCTTCCTTTTCATCCCTGTCAATCTCATTTCTTCTTCTTTCCTGACCCCCCTCCTTTTCCAAGGTAGATAATTCCTTTATAAGGGTCCGTTACCGTCCTGGCATAGGTATAGGGGATCTAGCGAAGGTTCTGTTTGATTACCTAGTTGCGTAAGCGTCGGAGGAGGATCGGAGCTCTTCCCTTCAACATGATAAAAGTGGTCATATTTAAAAGTAATGCAAGTGCTGCTCGTATATCTTTTCGAAGTTCATGAAAGAAAATAAGTCGAGAGTATAAAGCTTTTTATATTTCTTCTTTAGTCATTTCTTTAGCTGGCTTTTATAAGTTAAGTGACTCTTCGTTTGATGAAAGAAAGGGCTTTCATATCGAAGTTAACTCGAGCGGAATTTGTTGGATTGCCTCTAGCGATTGGGCAATATATATATTCGTAAAGTCGTAAACGTCGTCAAAAATTCTAGCAATTGCAAAACACTCGGTTGTAAAGGTATCTGAATTCTGTCTGCTCCCCAGAATTCAGAGGAGCTGATTTTCTTCTATATGGTTAGAAGGAATCACGTGCACTAGCTAACTAATAGGTTTTACAGCTAAGTTGGGGGTCCCTTGAATCGTGTGACGTACTTAGCGAGGCTCGCTAATTGACCTGTGAACCGTGGTTCACGAGTAGAGTTGGCCACATCACCCCCAACTACTACTAACTAACTGAGGTCGATATACTACGTATGTAGTAGTAGTAGGTACTATAGTATATACCGACAGAATTAGTATAAGAAAAAGCTTAAAAAAGCTTTTTATTATCTTGGTAAGCGGTAATAAGTCTAAATATAATTTTATGTTTCGATCTTATCGTATAATAAGTTCTTAGTTGCTAGCAATAGCTTATAGTATAGCTAGGTATATATAATAAGTATTAGTATAAGTGTGATAAGTAGCTAGCTACCTGTACTGTCCAGCTCTTAAGTAGTGTTTTTAGGCGAGAATTAAAGGTTTAAGATTGGTATGCTTAAAAAAAGTTATTAAAAGTTGGTATTAGTTTTGCTAGTGTTTTCGATATTAACCGTATTGTTTGTATTGTTTTTTAATTGCGAATCATAGATGCAGTTTGATCCTTGCGTTAAGCGCCATTTTAATAGTAAGGGAGAGGGAGAGCTTGTGTAAAGAGGATGATATTTCTAAGTTCTCCTTGGTGGAAGAAGTCTATGTACTCCCCTAGCGCGCACGTGCGGTCTAAGAGGCCTGGTAGCCTCAGGCCATCACAGTAACCGAGGGGTTGAAAGTGGAAACTAAACTTTTGAGGCACCATCGAGGGGTAATACTACGTACGTAGTACTACTAATACAGTAAAACGATGAGATAGCGTTGTCTAAACGTAATCGAAGCGGAAGGGTATACCCCTGGTAGAGCGAAAGCTTATTGAAACAGCGAGAACTTAATAGTTAGTAATTCGAATGTGCTTCCTCGGTCTTTTCAGAATATTTGAACCACGGAAAGAGAAATGGAATCATCTTAGCGGTGATTCCTCCACTTATTATAAGATCTTAGCTCTCTTATTGATTGCTTGCCCCTTATCAAAATGACCGTTTTTTATTCGCAGTTTAAACATCTTGAAAAACCGATTAGGTGTAACTACCGGTATGACTACGTGATAGTTCATATTCTTGAGAGAGATGGTTTCCGTTGACTTTATTGGAAAGCGGATTTTGCTTTGGCCAAGCTGGCAAGGATTTAAAGGTTCGCTTGTACTACTATCTTCAGCGTGATCGGCTATACGGACTCCGTACAAGTATAAACAATAGTACAGAGTACGAAGTTACAAAACACAATCCGTACGAGTATAAAGTATTTCATATCCCGCGCATAACAAGTCCATACCACTTGCACTCATTAATACCAATCTCTAACTAACTAATATACCAACTTCCAAACGATTAAAATACTATAAGTCATACTTCTTATCCTAACAAGATGGTTTCTATCAACTTCTTCGTCACCCTGCTCTTGTATGTATTCCGCTCCGGTCCTATCTTAACCAGTTTAATACTTCCATAGGTAGTTGTAGATCGCTGACCTCTATATTTGCTATAAGCATCTCTGTAGCAAGCGCACAGATCTTGCAGTGTGCTTGTGGACCCGTGGATACTACCAAGGACATATGCGACCGAATCAGCGGAAATTTTGCTGGACCGAGGGTACGTCACTGCCTGCTAAACAAGAATCAATCAGAATCTTCTTCTCTCAACCTCTTCAAGCAAGAAGAATACGTAATACATACATATATATGTATACATATTTGTGTGTTGACGTATATATGCTAATGCTTTTCCTCCACAGTGCACCGTTCAGGGCGAGCTTGCCGCTAGCAATTTCCGTAAAAGTTGCAAGCTCAACTCGGTGGTTACCACTCCCTCATGCGTATGAGCCCGAGCGCGCCTCTCAGCAGTGCTGCTGTGTGCTGGAATAGATGCTGGAGTGGATGTATATATATATATGTGTGTGTGTGTGTATGTACGACCTAGCAAAAATAGCTTCAAGCCATTCGATCTTGCTTGGTCCTGCTCTCGTGGACGCATATTTACTCGCCTCGGTGTCACTTGTTGTTGGAATATTGGGTTCTGCCTGTATTCCCTTGTATGGACTACTCTTGGCTTGTCTCTTGGCTACTCCTTTACTATAGCTCTCAGTACTCTCACACCTCATCTACTACACCTTGTGCACTCCTGATTCTATCACTTGTTTTTGATTTTGAGATATGCAGGAGAGCATTTCCAGCATACCTAGTTGTCCATTTATCGTTCCCCTCACACGCTGGTGATCGGCGGAAAAAGAAGAACACCATTTCGGGCTCGGATCGATGGAATCAAGTCTTTGTTCTCTCTTACCGTGTTTCCCCTCGCTCTGGCTTTTCCGTTTAATACAAGCCTTTTCTTCCCTCCTTTTCCCTCTCTCTGTCTTATCCCTCTCCTTCCAATTTGCCAATCAACCGGCCAACTAACTCCACATTTTCATTTTCGAAAAAATTCCAGCTTTACAATACATCTCTACAATCCTCTAATACATCCCTATCTCTCTACCATTTTTCCCCCTTCCTCTTCGTAGTTACTTTTATAAACCGGTCCCTCCTCCAATCCCACCGCATCATTTTCCCTCCTTCTGCTTCCCCCTACTTTTTTGTCCTACTTCTTCTTCTCCTTCTTCTCTCCCCTTCATCTCCTCTCCTGCCTTCCCATCCCGTCTCTCCTCATCTCTTATTCTCTTCTCTCCTCTTCCCTACCCTCCTCGTCCCCTTTTCTCATATTCCATCATATCCTATCCCCATCCCCATCCCCATCCCATCCCACCCCTCCTCTTCTCTCCCTTTATATCCTGTCCACTTCTATTCCTATTTAATATGGAAATATCTGGATATAGATAAACCTGGATATAGTCGTCTACTCCGTAAAAAAAAATTATTGCCAGGCAGCCACTTGGGTAATATATAGAGGAGATGGAGGGAGAGGAGGAGATGAGAGGGAAAGGGAAGGAGGGGAAGAGAGGGGAGAAGAGAGATAAAGGGAAGAGGAGGGGAAGAAGGGAGGGAAGGGGAGGAAGCGATATATCTATACACAATATATATGGTCTGGATAGGAGAGAAAGATAGAGCGGACCAGTGTGCTTGCTTACTTGCTTGCTGTCCTAGGTCCAGTGTAGTAGGTACAGCCAAAGAGTAGTGCTTTTTGAAATGACGCGAGCGGGTAAGCGACCGATCAGTAGCTTAGCTTCGTTTCATAGTTTCACACTTGTATATATGTTCACAGATTGCGCACAAAGCAACACGGAGGACATTTCGGTGCATATTATGTGTGCCTCTATGATAGAGAGCTTCACACAGTAATTCCCGAGCCCAGCCTACGAGTCCCAAACACTCATCCGCTCAACCACACCCGGCTCCCGCTCCAAGTTCGGATCCAAATCAAATGGTCTCGTCCACTGGTTATCCACTACAAAATCCTTGCTATCCAATGCCATCAGCGCAATCCTCTTCCGCGCCTCGTCGGTAGTAGCACCAACAGCCGGCCACAGGTCCGCATAGACCTTCCAATCATCTTTCTGGACGTCGATCCAGTTTACCGTCCTCATACTACAACTGGATTTGGTCCTTCGAATCGAGAATCGAATCATCTGTTCTGTAATGAGGGTTTCTCTATACGCCATGACAAAGCGTGTGACTTCGCTGTACTCTGACTCTGCTGATAGATGCAGGCCGCTGTGAATTTTCAAGGTGCGGAGTTTGATCCACTGATTTCCCCAGGCGATGCTGCGGTCATTGATGTCGCCTGTCCAGCGAAGTGCCTGCAGCCAGTCCGTACACCCTGTCAAATCGAGATACTGGAGTCCAGGTAGGCGATCAGCGAGGCGTCTGAGGACGTCAGCAGCTTCGCGGAAGTCGTTGTCAAGACTGTGAGAATAGTAGTTGGTGCCTCCGTATTGGATATCTTGTCCATGAGTTGATTGAACCACTGTGTTTTTGGCGTTGGGGGTAAGAGAGGGGACGGGCCAGTAGGCCAGTGAGAGCTGGGTCAAGTTTGGCACGTGCTTTGCGAATGATCTGGCCGCGGGAGTGTTTAGCAAGCTGATGCATGATAAAAGTTGACGAGCATATATATACATATAAAGAAAAAAAAAAGGATGCTGAGGTACTTACAGTAAGCGTGGCCAGGAGACAGTGGATGCTGGATGAGAGAGAGAGAGATGAGTGAGCATTGGAAGCGTTGCTGAGAGGGGTTTTGAAAGCGAGGTATCCTCCCAAGATAATTCGACAGAGTCTGCTTCTGCTTGGGGTTCTGGCATCTGCACGAGCTCGACGAGCTGCTTGAATGAAATCTGTAAATGGACGTTAGCCACCATCCAATAAAGAGTTTCATTTCTCAGAAATACAAATCGAGCAGGTATATCCCAATGATGGACTTACAGAGTTGCCCATAGCACCCGAAAGATCCAAGCGGAAGATCCCTTCATTGTGTTCTCCCGGGTCGACATCAGAAGATCCATCTTCGTATGAAGGGGGTATAAAGAGGGATTTTAGACTAGACTGAAGTCAGCCTCTGCGAACCACCATCTCCTTGTTCCCAGTTGGTACGGAAAGGATGAACATGCCCTTCAAAGCCCACCCCTTCATCAGGGCCATAGACCGCAAGATAGCTCAACAGCTTCATCCTCAAGCCTCCCGGGACGTCCACCAAGTTATTCATCTCGTAATCCCTGACAAATTCCCATTGTCTTGCCATCTCTCTCAAGCACATGTCCTGTAGAGTAGCCCCTTTCCTCTCCTCATCCGGCAATCCAGGGAGATGCCTCACGTCGGTGGGCAGAACCCTTGTCAGCGAACGCCCTGATCCATAGCTATACCTCGAGCCTTCTAGCCAGCTACGCGGGGGTGCAGGACCAGGCGGTATACGTCTGCCATTTGCATCGAGGCGTCGACGGTTCCTGGCGTGAGGGACTGGCGTTTCGGGCTGGGAGAGAAGAGAGCGGATCTGTGGTGGCAGCGTCGGAGTGGTCACTGTCGCCGGTGCAGGCCCAGAAGGTGATACGTTCAGTTTTCGAGAGGAGGATATCAGGTCGTTCACCGTGGGTTTCGCATCGTTGTCTGTGAAGAACTCACTGTTAATGGTCGGGTGGGTTGGTGGTGGGGGGGGGGGGGNGGGG